CAGATTTTTCCTGGTGTGTATAATCCTCCACTTTCACCTGATATATAGATAATGCTGCTCTCCAAACAAAATCTAGAAATCAAAGTGTAGAATGAACTCTTATCTGCTAAAAGTATTGAAGATACAGTTTGTACATAAAGCAAGAAAAAGAATTATTTAATGTTAGACTATGACGCAAGAAGTCTGACTATGTAGCTCTGCAATAACAAAATACTTATTATCAGGCTTGCCCTTACATGTATATACACCAAGATTAATTGAAATCTGTTTTTTTTTGAGTTATTAGAAAATTGCCTAATTTAGGAAATTAATATGCATGGATTTCAACCCAAAACTATATCATCTCTACGGATTACCCCAGAACACCTATGTACCAAGTTTCATTGAAATCTGATGTTCACATTACAAAGGTATCACATGATCATATGTGGCTATTTGATATGGTAGTCATGTCTTGCAAATGCCTTCAGAATTAAAGCACTTGTTGAATATGCCTATCTGTAAAAGTTCTTTAGATACAGTGACACCTCACTAAGTCGCGCTTCAGTAAGTTGCGGTTTCAGCTTAGTCGCAGGAAGTTTAATGGCTCCAAAAATTCAACTGACTCAAGGTGTCAACAGAGATATGAAGTCATGACTTTATGTACTTCTCAGCTGTTTCCTTTTGATAAAGCTCTATAAAACTTGCTGCAATGAGTCAAATCCATACAGACATGGATGCTGTGTTGTCCAATACAGATAACATACTATAAATAAACCCATGTGTGTATATATGTACTTTTCATTCATTTTCAATGCATAAACACCCCTTACCTGAGACCCCTTGGTAAGTTTTTGCTTGGATCCCAAAACCAGCAACTTAGCAAGGGCCACTATATTATTATTATTCATATTAAATAAATATATAATCATGTGATATTTTAGTCATCTCTCACTTGTTTCAACCCTCAACTAATAACTTCAAATAACTTCAGTGTAATACCCCAGAACATGTATCAAGTAAAATTTTGTCCCTAATACTTACTATGACAAATGGGACCAAAAAAACCATAACATACACAACAGCCTCAGGTATTCTCTCATCAGAGTCATATGGTTTGGCATGGTCTAGGTTATTGCACATCACCTCCTGTACATTAACAGTGAATGCGTTGGTTGGATCATACTCCAGAAAATACCATAGAACAATGAGACCAGCAGCAATAATGCAATCAATCAGGAGAACACATGGAATAAGTCTATTATTGGTTACAACAACTGGACCTTTGGGTCTGACTGGTGTACGACGAAATTCATGCTGCATCTCAGCCATCCTGAATTAATGAATTTAAACTGAGGATGAAAAAAAATTTATAAAATTAAAGAATGAATGGTTAAATACATGGTGCTTTAATAAGATAATATATACATATATATATATATATATACATTGTACAAGTATTGCAGCGATGGGAATTGGAGGTTTTTATTATGAATTTTATAGTTTATATTTTAACTACATGTTTGTATTCATATACAGTGAGAACTTTTCTCCCATATTGAACAGAATGCTCAGTAACATGCATCTATACACGAAAACGCTGACAATAACAAAAATGTTAGATTTGCTTTAATGCCATGTTTGGATACATAGTTATTAATAACAGACAGTTACAGATCTACACTGTGCTATAAATAACTCGTACGCATTTCAGTGAGATACAACACAATATGGTATTTTACTTAATTTAGAGACAATATATTCACCATCACTGATCATATAAATAATAGACACTGAGTATATCTTTCATAGAACAAGTTGTCTTCAATATATAGTACATACAGGAATGTAAATGCTTTTTATGTGGTCATATTTTACAATATAAAGAATCATTTGTTGCCACCAAT